TTGCCACCACATAAAACAGACCCTGAAAGCACACTGTGTATAATGAGAGAAAAAAAAAATGAAATCATGATTTTTCGATTTAAAACAGCAACTTTGCAGTGTTTTTTCGTATGTTTTTTATAGTTGTATTTGCGATTTCTTGGTCTCATTTGATAGAATGGAAGACATATTACAGAAATAGAGATGATTTTGATTTGGGTTTTTGCACTGGAAATGGCTTGAAACTGAGCTCAAAGTAGCAGAAATGTTAAATTTTTGCCGATATTCAAAAGTAAACAAACGACCTCACACGTCTAATACAGTCAGCTGGTGGGTCTAATATACATTCACAAATATGGTGTGATATATTTATACAATTATTACAAAATTGCATAACAGTAAATCTTCTATTTTTTGGTTGTGAATAAAAATTCATTATGTGAATAAAAAATCAAAATGGAATTTATTTGTAAAGCCTCAAAACATAACTAATGAAAAAGAAAGGAAATGTTAGTTTAGTGCCAAGGAATGCCTATATTGTTTATTCTGGACCCCATTTTGGGAAAATTGGAATATTTTTTAACTTTGTGTTAAAATTTGGGCCCAAATTAACAATTTCCCATCACTTTATTTGTAGTTGAAACAGTTTTACTTGGCGATTTCTTGTGCTCAATCGATAGAATAGAAGTAATACTAGTGAAATAGCTAAGAATTTGGGTTTATTGGAATACATGTAATGTTAAATTTGGGCCTAAAATGGGAGTCAAAGTCGGCAAAATCGCCGATTCGTAAATATCGCTGACACATCAAAATTCGCGAGAGCATAATTTCGTCAATTTTCCACCAAATTTCGTACTTTTTGTTTTATTACCTTCACCAAAAGATTCTCTACGATTTCTAAGAAAAAATAACAATTTTTTTTTTTTTTAAATTCTTGGACACTGGTGCGTGACTCCAGATTTGGGCCTTGGACCCTGAAAGGGTTAATGGGAGATTTTAACTTTAAATAATTGGCAGGAACAATGTGACAGGAAATCTTGAGTACAGGTCTCCCTCAACATTTGCGTTTTCAACTTTCGCGGGCTTCACACATTCACAATTCCCAACTGCCAAATTCCAGCTGCCAATCTATTTAAGTTTCCTGCCACCCGCTAGTCCCTACTACCCTTCCTCCAACCCCAAAACTGGCAGCCAGCCCTTCACCACTCAGTGTGGTGAGTGTTTTGTTTGTTCATTATTTGCTATTAAACTACAGTATAAATAATGCAAAACCCAAATTTATGACTGAATATTGGAATGGCTATTCGGACAGGTATTGGACAGTGACATCATATGTTTACTCTTGAACACGGCAAAGAATCAAACATTTTCTGCTATGCTAATAATAATAAAAAATAATAATAATAATAATAATAATAATAATAATAATAATTATAATACGATAGCATTGAAGGAAATTGTACAAAAATACGAGGGTTGAAGGAATGGTGGAAGAAGTGGTTGAGGGATGGTCAGTGTGGCTTTTATTATGCTGGAGTGAGCATAGTCTCCACACTCTTCGAAACATTTCACAATAATTCATTGTGTTTGGTGCTTGTAGATTGAGTGTGACTGGAGTGGTAGAGGGAGCGGTTGAGGAAGTGGTTGAGCAGCGGTTGAGGCAGTGGTTTTAGGCAGTGGTTGAGGCAGTGGTTGAGGCAGCGGTTGAAGCAGTAGTTGAGGGAGCGGCTGAGGCAGTGGTATTAATAAGTATATGTTTATTATTAATTAAAAATAAAAACATGTTATTATTAAAAAACTTTTATTATTATTATTAATAATATGTTATTAAAAACCACTCCCTCACTGCTGCCTCAACCGCTAACTTACCCCTGCCTCTACCACTGCCTTACCACTGCTCTACCACTGCCTCAACCACTGCCTCAACCACTGCCTCTACCATTGTCTCTACCACTGTCTCTACCACTGCCTCAACCCCTGCCTCAACCACTGCCTCAACCACTCCAGTCCCCGCTCAATCTACAAGCACCAAAAACAATGATTATTGTGAATGTTGGGGAGAGTGGAGACTAATACTCACTTCAGCATAAACAAAGCCACATGACTGACAATGCGCCAACCACTTCTTCCACCACTGCTTCAAACCCTCGTATTTTTGTACTATTTCCCTTTTTCAATTCTATTGTTTAATAATAATAAAATAATACGATAGAACTGAAGAAGGAAAATTTTACAAAATACGAGGGTTTTAAGCAGTGGGTTTAAGACGGGATGGGGGGAGTGTGCTGTGTAGGGGGAGGTGGGAGGGATGTGGAGTGTGGGGTATGGCGGGGAGGGTGGGTGGGTGTGGATGGGAGAGGCTGTGGGTGGTGGAGGGTGTGGTTGTATGTGGGTGGGGGGGTGGGGGGGGAGCGCTGGGGTTTGGGGGAGGGGGGCGAGTGGGTGCGTTGGGGAGAGGGATGTGGGGGGGTGTGGGGAGGGGGGTTGGGTGGAGGGGGGGTGGGGGGGGGGGGGGGGGTGCTGGTGGGCGGAGGTGGTGGGGGGGATTGGTGGTGGGGGGTGCGGGGGTGGGAGGGGGGGGGGGTGGCGGGGGTGTGGGTGACCTGTGGGGGGGGGCGGGGTGGGTGGCGGGTGTATTGACGTGTGCTGGGGACAGGGGGTGAATGGGGGTGTGGGTTTGGGGAGTGGTGAGGGAGGGGGAGGGTGGGGTTGGAAGGGCGTGCAGTCGGGGGGATGGGTGGGGGTGGAGGGGGGGTAGGGGGGGGTCTTGGTGTTGGAGGGGGGGGGAGGTGGTTGTGGGGTGGGGCGTGGGTTGGGCGGGGGGGAGTCGTGGGGGGGGGGGGGGAGGTGGCGTGGGATGATTGTGGGGGGTTGGTAGAGGGGGAGGTTGTGGTAGGGGGCTTGAGGGGGGGGGGTGGGTGAATTGGAGCGGGGGTGGTTGGAGTGGCTTGAGTGGAGTTACTTGGAGACGGTGCTGGGAGGGGTCTTGGTCCCGTGCGGGGGGGCGCCGGTGGTTGGTGGTGGTGGGAGGGTGGGTGGGTGCGGGAGGGGGGGATGTGGCGGTGTGGGGTGGAGTATCCCTATGGGGGTGTGGTGGGGGGGGTGGTTTGAAGGGGGGTGTGGTGGCGGGTGGCGGGGATGGGGGTGGGGGGGTGGCTGTGGGGGGTCGGCGGCTCGGGGGGGGGGGTTTTGGGTGGAGTTATCAATCCCCTGGGTGTGGAGGTGAGGGGCGGGGCTCGAGGATGGGGCGGGGGGGGTGGGCCAGGGTTTGGGGGTGGTGGGCGGGCCGGGTGGGGGGCCAGGCCTTGCACCAGCGTTGGCCGCGGTCGGGGGGGGGTGGTGGGGCGCCGGGGGGTGAGGACGTGGTGGGTGGGGTTGGGGCGGTGTGGGGAGGGTCGGGGGGGTGGCGTGATGGGGTGGTGGGTGGGGGGTGTGGTGGCGGGGGTGGTAGGGGTGGTTCGGGGTTCATGGGCAGGCGCCGGGGGGGGGCGGGTCGCCGCGCGGAGGGGGCGTGGGGTGTGGTGGGGGGGGTTCGGTCGGGCGGGGTAGGGGGCGGGGTGGGAGGTGAGGTAGGGTGTCGTGGTGGGGGTGGGGCATCGGTCGTTGAGGGTGAGGGCGGGGGGGGTGGGCGGAGGGGGGGGTGGGGGCGTGGGGAGGGGAGGGGGGGGCGTTGGGTTGGGGGGGCGCGGTGGGAGGTCGGGCGGGCGCGGGGGTGGGGTGGGTGGTGGAGTTGGGGGGGAGGGGGGGGGGGGATGTAAGGCGGGGTGGGCGTGGAGGCTTGCGTGGGCGGGGTGTTGTGGAGAGGATGGTGGGAGTGGGTGTTCTGTCGCGTGTGTGGCGCGTCGCGGCGCGAGGCTCGCGGGGGGGGGGGGGGGGGGGGGGTGGACCGGTGGGGCGGTGGGGGTGGGGGGGGGGGGGGGGTCCGGGTGTGGGTATGGCTGGGGGGTGAGTGGGCGCGCGGGGCGGTGGGGGGGGCGGAGGGGGGGGGGGTGTGTGGCTGTACCGGGGGGGTGGTGGCGAGTTGGGGCGTCGTTTGTGGTGGCTGGTGGGGCGACGATGGTTGGCGGGGTATGGGGGAGGGGTGTGGGGGGGGGGTGCGTGGGTGGGGGGTCGGGCGGGTGTGGGGGTGTGTTACGCTGTGGCGGGGATGGCCTGGGGGGGGGACTTCCAAGGGGGTGGCATGGCGGTGGTGCTCTTGCTTGGTGCGGGGGTGTTCGGCGGCGGGGGAGGGTGTGCGGTGGGGGTATGTGTGGGTGGGGGGGGGCGGGGGATCAGAGGGGTTCTGTGGGGTAGGGCGTAGCCGGTGCAGGGCGGTTGGGGTCCGGGGGGTGGCGGGGGGTGGTGTGTGAGGGTTGAGGGGCGGGGGTGGGGCGGTTGGGCTGGGGTCAAGGGCGGGGGCGGGTGGGTCGTGTGCGGGGGGGGTGGGGTTGGGGGGGTTGGGGGGGTCGGTGCGGTGGAGGGCGTGGTGTCGAGGGGGCTGCCGGGGGGGTGGGTGCGGGGCCGGGAGGGGGGTGGTGGGGCGGGTTCGGGGTGGAAGGCAGGGATCGGGCTGGGGGGGGTGGGCGGCCCTTGGGGGGGTGTGGGGGGGTGGGGGGGCGGGGGGCGGGGGCGCCGTACGTAGGGGCTAGTGTGGCCGGGGGTGCGATGGCGGGTGGGGGCGGGGGCGGTGGGTAGGGGGGGCGTGTGAAGGGGGGGGGGGTGCAGCGGTGGGTGGGCGCTGGGGGGGCTTCCGACTCCAGGGGGGTGCCCCCCCCCCCCCCCCCCCCCCCCCCCCCCGGGGGGGGGCGGGGGGGTCGGAGGGGGGGGTGGTGTTCGGGGGGCGCTGGGGGTATTGGGGGAGGGGTGGGGGGGTGGGGTCTGTCGGGGGTCGGTGACTGCGGGGGGGTGCGGCCGTCGTGGGGGGGGGGGACCGGACGGGGGTGCTGTGGGTGCATGGGGGGGGGGGGTTCGGGAGGGGGGGCGTTTTAGGGGGAGGCGTGCTGGGATGGGGGGGATGAGGAGGGGGTTTGGGGGTGGCGCGCTTGGAGGAAGTGGGGGGGGCGGTGTGGGGGGTGTGGGGGGCGAGGGGACGGGTCGGGGCATGGGGGGTGGGGGGGGGTCGTGGGGGTGGGATGTGTGGATTGCGTGTGAGGTTTGGGCGGGACTGGGTGGGTGGCGGCACGTAGGGGCGGGGGGGCGGTGGTGGGGGGTTTGGGGGTGGGGGGCAGGCAGGTTGATGGGGGGGTGTAGGGGGGGTGGGTAGAGGCCCGGCTGGGGAGGGGCGGGACGGCTGGGGATGGCAGGGGGGGGTGGATCTGTGGGCGGAGGCGGTGCGGGTGCTGGGCGTGTGGCGGTTGGCGGGGAGGTGGGGAGGGGGGATGGAGGGGCGGTGGCATGGGCTCGGGGGGTGCTGGGGTGGGGGTGGCGAGAGGGGGAGGGGGGAGGGGGGCACGATGGGCGGTTGGCGGGGGGTGGCGGGGGAAGGGGGGTGTGGGGGCTGGCAGAGTGGGAGGGCCGGGGTGGGGGGGCCGCGGTGGGTGAGGTGGGTGGGCTGGTGTGGGGGTGGGTGCGAGGGGTGTTGGGTACCGGGGGTGGCGGGGCGCGCGTAGGAGTGGGGTGGTGGGTGTGTGCGGGGGGGCTGGGCTTGGGACGAAGAATGGGCGGGGGGGAGGGGTGGGGTTGAAAAGAGCGGTGTTGGGGGAGGGGTGGGATTGGGGCGCATGGGTGGTGGGGGGGGGGCCAGTTGTCTGCGTCCCGTGGGAGGGGCTGCTGGGGGCGGGTGGGCATGGGGGGGGGGGTCGGGGGGCGGGGTAGCGTGGAGGTGGTGGGGTATTGGGGCGGGGGGTGCTCCCATGTTTGACGTTGGGGGGGGTGGGGGAGCTGGAGGGGGGTGGAGGGGTTGTGGGTGGGGCGGTGGGGGCGAGGCTAGTAGGGGTGGGGCGATAGTGCGCGTGGGGGCCGGTTGCTGGACTGTGTTGGGGCGTGGTGTGGGGTGGTGGGGGGTTGAGGTGGGGGATGGCGCGCAGCCTAGGGCGGGAGGGTGGGGGGCTGAGGGGTGGGGCAGGGTGGCACGCGTGGCGTAGGGCGTGGGGGGGGGGCTGGGGGGTGGTGGGGTTGCGGCGCGGGTGGGCTGGGGGGGCCGGTGCGGGGCGTTGGTGCGTAGGGGCCGGCAATGTGTCGCACAGCACCCAGGTGGGTGGGTGGTATGGGTATGGTGGGGTGGGTGGGGGTGGATCCGGCATCGCCGGCGGGGTGGGGTAGGTGGGTCGTTTGGGGGGGTATGCGCGGATGAGGGAGTTGTGCGCCTGGCGGGGCGGGGGCGGAGCGGTGGGGGTGTGGGGAGGAGGGGGGCCGGCGGGGGGGCGTGGGTCGTGGTACGGTGGGGCCTGGGTGGTCTGAGTGGGTCCGGTTGGGGGACGCTTATGTGGGCGGATGCGGGGTTGATGGTGTGGCGTTATACCACTGCGGTGCGGTGGGCGGGGTGGGTGAGTGGCCCGAGGATGTGGGGTGGGGCTGGCCGGGGGTAAACGGGGGGGGTGCGGGGGGGGGTGTCGGGGGTAGGCTCGGGGCGTGGGACGGACTGTGGGGGGGTTGGAGGAGGCAGGGGTGGGGATAGGGGGCGGAGGGGCCTGAGGGCGGGTGGTGTGGTGGGGTAGCCCGGAACGTGGGTGAAGTGGTGGGGCGGATCGGTCTGTGGGAGGGGGTGGGGTGGGGGGGCGGGGGCGGGGGAATGCGGGTTGGGTGGGTGGGTGGGGGTACCGTCCCATGAGCACTATCCGGGAGCAGTGTGTGGGATGTAGGGCGGGAGTGGGTGGGGGTGGGGGGGCTTGGGTGGTGGGTGGCGCTCGGGGAGGGGGAGGGTGGAGGTGGGGGCCGGCCGGGCTCGTGGGTCTGGGGTGAGGGGGGGGGGTGGGGGGGGGGATGTCCCGGGCGGAGTGGGAATGGTGGGGATGGTGGGTGGGGGGGGGGCGGGGGGAGGTGGAGGGGGCTGGGGTCAGCGGTGGTGCGTTCGAGAAGCCTTAGGGCGAGGTGGTCGGGAGGGGTGCGGCGAGGTGGTGGGGCGTTGGCGGTGGGGGGGAGCGGGCTAGTGCAATGGGACGTGATACAAAGAAGGGTGCGCAGGGGGGGGGGGTCGGGGGGGGGGGTGGGGGGAGTTCGGGTGGGCTACCCCCCACACCCCCGTGGGGGGGATGGTGGGGGGGGGGGGGGGTGGGTGGTGGTCGGGGATGTGCGGGGGGGAGAGTGCCGGGGGGGAGAGGAACAGGTTGGGGCGCGTGGTGGTGGGTGCGGGGGCCTGGGGGGGGGAGGGGGTGGGTGGTAGGTTCTGTGGGGGGCCTGGGGGTGGGGGGAGGCGATGTAGAGGCGAGGGGGGGGGGGGTGGGATGACGGTGGGGGGGAGAGGTGGGGGCGTTATTAAGGGCACAAGGTGCGGGCGGGGGGTGGGTGGGGGGTGGGTTTGTGTGGGGGGGCGGGCGGGTGGGCTAGGGGGGTGCGGGTAGCGGGGGGCAGGGGGTTGTGCATCGGGGAGGGGTGTTGGGGGGGGGCTAGGGGGGCACCCGCTGTGGGTGGGGGGTGGGTGGGCGCCGCGTGGGTTTGTGGGGCCGCGGGTGGCGAAGGGGGGGGGCGGGGTGTGGTGGGGTGGCGAGTGGTGGTGGGGGGGGGGGGGGGGGGGGGGGGTTGGGTGGGGGGGGGGGGGGTGGGGTGGGTTCCAAAACAAATACCCCCGGTAGCTAGGGGGAATGGTGGGGGGCTGGGTGGTGGTGGGTTGGAGAGGGGGTGGGGAGGTGGGTGTTGAGGCGTGGCCGTTTGGGGGGGGACTGGGGTGCTGGGGTTGGGGGGGGGGGGCGATGGGGGTGTCGGGCGGGGGGTGAGGGGGGCATTCGCGGACGGGGAGGGGCGTGGGGGACACGGTAATCGGGGGGCATGGCGAGGGGGCGAGTGGGGGGGGGGCCCGGATGGGCGACGAGGGGTGGATCCGGGGCGGTGCGGTGGTTAAGTGCGCGGCTGTGGAGGGGGTGGGGGGGGGGATGGAGGGGGAGAGTGGACTGGCCGGGGGGGGGATGTGGGGGGATGGGTGCGGGGTGCCGAGGGTGGGCGTGTGGGGAGGTTGGCGGGTGGTAGGTGGCCAGGGGGTAGGTTGACGGGGCGGTGGGGGGGAGGGGAATTGTGGGGGTGGGGTTTGGGGGGGGGGGGGTTGTTCGGGGGTGCTGCGGGGGATGGGGTGGGGGGGTGAGGGTCCGGGGGAGGTGGGGGAGGGGGGGGGGGGAGGACCTGTGAGCGGTGGGTGTGTGGGGGGCGGGGGGGGGGGCGGCGAGTGTGTTGGGGGTGTTGGGAGCCTCGGGTGTGGCGGGGGTGGTGGGGGTGGGGTAAGGCGGCTGGAGGGGGTGGTCGCAGGCGGGGTATGTACGTGTGGCATCGGCTGGGGGTGCACGGGACCAGTGTGGAGGTGGAACCACATGGGGTGGGGTGGGATGAAGGGCAGGGGGGGGAAGATGGGGGGTGGGGGGGGTTCTGCACGGGGAAGGGTGGGGGGTGAGAGGGGGAGATCGGTGAGGGAGTGGGGTGGGGGTGGTAGCGCAGCCGTCGGCGCGGCTGGGGGGTGAGGGGTCGACGGTCGGGGGGGTGCTGGTGGGAGGGGGGAGGGGCGGTTGAGGTGGTGGGGGCGAGAGGGGCGAAGGGGGTCGGGCGCACAGCGTCAGGAGAGCCTCCGGTATAGGGGGAGGTGGGGGTCGTGAGGTGGTGGGGGCGAGTGGGGGCGGTAAGAGGCGTGAGGGGGGGGCCGTGAGGGCGGCCGTGGGGGGCCGGGGGTGTTGGGGGGCGGGGGGGCGGGGTAGGGGGGGCCCGGCGTGTGGGGGCTGATTGGGCGCGAGGAGGTGGTGGGGGAGGTGGAGAGCGGGGGGTTGCGGGGGCATTGGTTGGTGGGGCCTGGGGGGCCTCCTTGATGGCCGGCGAGGATTGGTTGGTGGTGTGCGGGGGGCGGTGTAGCAGGGGGGGGGGGAGGGTAGGGGGAGGATGGTGCGGGTGCGGTTGGATACTTGTAGAGGAGTGGGCAAGAGGTTGGTTGTCGGGAAACAGGGGTGCGGGAGTGTCTATGGGCTCTAAGTGGGGCAGAGTTGACGGTTGGGAAGTCAGTACATGTGGATGGGTGCTGGCTATGCTGTTGGCCTCGGGGGTCGTGAGGCAGCAGGGTAGTAGCGGTTGTGGTGGTGCTATGGATGATATTATGGTTGGCGTGTTGTACTGGGTTGGCCGTCGATGGGGTCGCAATCAGGGTCGGCGTTCGTCGCGTGCTTTGGGGACGTCCTGTAGGTACAGTAATGGGGGGGGGCTAGTGATGGGGTGAACTCGAAGAGCAGGATGGGGGGTGTGTGTAATCTGTGTGTTCGGTGGTGTGCACCAAGTTTCCACTTATATTGCAAATAAGGTCGATCTTTGATGCGTGGCCGGTTGGCCGTGCGTGTCTATTGGCCGGGCCATGGCTGTGGGCTGGGCGAGTGGGGGGCTGGTACGTCGGCTGCGACGCTGCGCGCGGTTCGGGGGCGCATGGCGTGGCGCATTCCGTAGTGGTAGGGTGTTGTGTATGGTGGGTGGGCTGTCGCTGGAGGATGCGATTAGGCGAGGGCGCGACCGAGTGTGTGTGGGTTGGTGATGAGGCATGAGCATGTGTCGAAGGGTTGGGTACCCCCCCCAGATTCGGGGCGACTGTGCGGGGGTAGCCGCGTACGACTAATGGCGCCTTGTGCTTGCGCATGGGAGTACCGCCTGGGGGTGGCGTCTTGGCATCCGTGTACGCGAACCTGGCGTGCCAGGATATTTGGGGTAGGGTTCAGGGGCTGTGATTTGGGGGGCAGCAGACACAACGGTGCCCTACCCAGGGGAAGTAGGGTGTGAGAGTATGCCGAATCGGGGGGGGCTGGGGGCGGGGGTCAGTGGGGGTTGCGGTCTAATGCGCCCAAGCCCCGCACCGGGGTATTAGCGTTGGTGGCCGGGGGATGGCGCAACCCGTGGGGGTCGTGGCCGGGGCGTGGGTTGGGCCTCCTGGGATGCACTGAGGTGGATGAGTGTGCTGGCTTAGTCGGGTGTTGTGGGGGTCGGGGGGGGCGGTGTGGGTGGGGGGTGGGGTTGGGTGGGGTAGGTGGGTGGCGGGGGTCCGGGCGGGTGTGGGGGGTGCGCGGATGGGGGTGCGGTGGGGCGGTTGGGTGGGGGGGTAGTGGATGGGGCGGGGTTGGGTGGGGGTGTGTGTAGGGATCTGTGGGGTTTGGTGAGGGGGGGGTTGTTCCGTTTGGATTGTGTTGGGGCGGGCAGGGAGGGGTTGCTCGGGTGGTCGGGGGGGCGCGGGGGGTGTGGGGGGGGTTGGGGGTGGGAGTGCTGGGGAGGTGGGTGGGGGGGTTGGGGGGGTAATCGGGAGGGCGGGGTGGGGATCTGGGGCGGGATAGACGGGGGGTGTAGGGGTGTATGCGCGGGGGTGCGGGGGGTGGGGGGTGGTTGGGATGGGAGTGTGGGTGGACCCGGGGGGAGGGTGGGGTGTTGGGGGGAGATGGTCGGCGGGGTCTGGGGGGTTGATGGGGGAGGTGGGCTGTGTGGAGGTGGGTGGGGGGCCGGGGGGATAGGGTGGCGGTAGTATGGGGGCACGCGGCGGGGGGTGGGTTGTGGGGGGGAGTGGGGTGGGGGGGTAGGTGTAGTTCGGGGGGGCGTGGGGTTGAGGGGGGTGGCAGGGGCGGGTGGGGGGGTGCGGGGGGAGATGGGGCGACGTGATGGTGGGGGGGGGAGATGTGCGGGGCGTGGGGGTTGAGGGGGGGGGGGGGCGCATGGGGGGGTAGGGGGGGGGGTTGTGTGGCGGGGTTTGGTTGAGGGTGGTGGTTGTAGGGCTGGGGGTGGGGTGTGGGTGAGGGCGGGTGGGGGGTTGAGGGTGGATGGGGGCGGGGGTGGGGCGGGGGTGGGGGGAGGGGGGTGGAGGTTGGGGGGGGTGTGTGGTGTGGGGTGTGGCTGTGGTGGGGGTGAGGTTGGGGGGGGGGGAGGGGGGGGGTGAGTTGGAGGGCGGGGCATGTGGGTGGTTGTTGGGGGGGGGGAGGGTGGGGGGGGGGGGGGGAGGAGCCTGGGTTGATGGGGGGGGGGGGGGTGGTGGGGTGGGGTAGTAGGGGGGGTGGGGGTGTGGGGGATGTGGTGGGAAGTGGGTGGGTGGGTGTGCTTGTAAGGAGGGTGGTGGTACGCCCCTGCGCTTGGAGCCGGTAGGGGGGAAGGGCGGGATGGGGAGGAGGGGTGGTGGTCCGGAATAGTGGGTGGTCGGAGGGGGGGTGGGGGGGGGAGGTGGGGGGGGTGGGTGGGGGGGTGGTGGCCCCCCCAGGGGGGTGGGGGGGATGGGGTGTCGAGTAAGGGGGTGTGGGGAGGTGGGGGGGGGGGGGGTGGGTGTGTGGGTGGGTTGTGGGGGGTGTTGGTGGGGGGGGGAGGAGGGGGGCGGGTGCGGAGGGGTGTAGAGGGAGGGTCCTGGGGTTAAGTGGTTGAAACTGGGGAGAGGGTGGGGGGATTAGGGGACGGTGGGGGACGAGGGGGGTGTGAGGGGGGGGTGTGGGGAGGAGGATGGGGATGTTGGGGGTGGGGGGGGTGGTGGCGCGGCGGGTGTAGGGGGGGGAATGGGTTGTGCAGGGGGGAGGGCTTTGAGGTTCTGGGCTGTTGGGTGAGTTGTGGGGGTAGGATGCCTTGAGGATCGGTGGGTGGAGGTGGGGGATGGGTTGGTGGGGGGGTGGGGGGGTGGGGGGGGGTGGGGGGGAGGGTGTAAAGGGGTTGTGGTGGGGGGGAGGGGGGGATTGGTGGCTTGTGGGTGGGGGCGTGTGGGGGTGGGGTGGGGGGGGGGGGGGGTATTTTGGGGCGGATATTGGCGCGGGGATGGGAGAGCTGGGGGGGTGTGGGGGGGGGGG